TACTGAAAACCTATAGATATTTGTGCAGGAAAATACTAATTGATCAATAGTTTCTAAAATACTCAGACCACCTAGATAATCTAAATCCCCTTGTATTTTTCATTATGGTACTCAATTTAAACCTCAGCTAGCCTTCTTTACTGCATCTAGAGGGTGAAATACATCGAATTGCTGCTATGTTAACAAGAAACTCAACAGGTGTGCCTGATAAAGTGTAGTGTGAGTGTACAGTAGGCACGCACAGAGAGGAAGTGCTGATGTGCCTGAGAATCACTGTGTCTGCTTGTTAATGAGATTTTATTGGCAAGATTAACAGCCTTTGTGTCATAACAGAGGCAGCAAGCCAGGTGAAACATCTGTTGCTCATATTGTCTGAGTTGTAGGACACAGAAACATGTTAACATGTTACTGGAAACACATATGGCCACACAAGTTAAAAGGATTGTTAAAACATGTAGTTTCAATCTGCTTTTTTGCAAATTTTGGTATCATCTTTGATGTTATCTACTTTTATTGACGTTACATTCGTTGATCGAGGTCTAAAAAAAAGACACAATTTTCTTTGAAAGCTACAGAAGGTGCCAACGGATCCAACTTGCACTGACTCTATTGACCTCCTTGTGTTCGCCTCAAAAAGCACGAACAAAGGATCAGGTGACTACAACATTCACAGAGACCTGCACTTTTTATTGCAGAGTTGTGTGCATTCACACACGTTTTGGCAGACAGTGAAAACAGGGAGCCTCAGCATGCATGGCATTCAAGCTATGTGCAGTGTGGACACAGCTTTGTGCAATTTCTGCATTTGGAAAAGTTCTCATTTATTTAGGGTGGGTTTGTGGCCTACGGACGCATCCACAATAGCTAACTGATAGGAAGACAAAGAAATTCCAGTCTTCTGCTGCTAAAAAAACTCAATTCAGATCAGGTCATAATAGCTCAGCTGTCTTGACCAAAGGAAGAGGAGAGAATAGGGTGCCTTGTGATTTTCCCCCTTTTTGCCCTCACCCTCCCTCACTTTTCTTCTTCTTTTTTTGTGCCTGAATCTTTTATCTGTGTTATTCATTCAAGACTCTTCAAAGTAACAAGCCTCCTTCTTTTTCCCGGTACTGGACTTGGAACCCAAATTAGAGACTGCTTGATTAGAGCGGAGAGGAGGGAGCCAAGAGAGAGGAAGATGTGGGTATTGGACAAAACAAATCGCACCCCTACAAAGTGTCTTTTATCCAAAGACCCCAAGGCTCAAATACCCCCATCCCTAGCAGAGCAACCGTGGCGCTGCTTGTTTTTCTCTTATCATTTATTTAGTCCCTCGTTGATGTTTTCTGTCCCCCTTTTATGAGATCGGTTGAAGGCAGGAATCTCAAAAGGTGAATCTTGAATTGCCTGAAACTGGGCAGCATGACCGCTTCCTGCCTCCTGTGAATAAGTCTGGATTTTTTAAAGTAGACGGAATAAAACACAGGGAAAAGTCCAGGGTACTCACTCCTGGGTTCTGTTTCAGGGTAGCATCATCCTATGGTGCCTCAGTCCTTCTACCAAGCGCATGTCAAAAGATGTTAGGTCTGGCCTGGCTGCTGGGGTTTATGTAGCGCCAAAGTATCTCTAAGCTGTCTGTCTGCCGTCGGAAGTGCAATGTGAGGAGACATATTAACAGGCAGACCCCATCCCCACTGCTGTTAAAAGCCATACAATATGTAGGAAAACTGCCTCTTTTGTCAGCGGCCTGGTCAGACACAGACCACGGCTCTCCTCTTCTGTACCACCCAATAAAAGTTTTATCTGCATTTTAAAGCTAATCCATAATTTAAAGCAGGAAGAAAGAGATTTTAACACAAACCAGTCAACAACAAAAAAAAGAAAACATATGCATTTGATTTTATGTCCAGCTGTGTAAAAATTCTCCAAGGCTTGTCGGGTTTAATCAATATCATGGGAATTTGCAATGAATTTCAAGTAATTTTGAAATCTTGTAAATGTTTCAAAATTGCTGAAGGCAGCATCAGAAAAAAATAACAGAATACTTTTGGGGTTAAAATGGAAACAGCATAAAGTGGAGAGGATGCTTCAGGCTTCCCACAGCTCAGCTAAAGAACAAAACAATAGACCTTCTGTTAGCATTCTTGTGGTGTCTGGGCAAGAAGAGGCACCCCACTCTCAGGGTAGCCCCTCCAATATTTAGCACAACTCCCCTCCAAATAATGAGACAAAATAGCCTTTATTTATGTGTTATACTTTTATAACATGAATAATTTTTTATTTATAATTATATGGTAATTTTTTTCCCAATCAATTTACATCAGAAATGTGTAATTAAGCAGAGCGAGAGGACATTTCAAAGTTCAAACAATGTCAGCTCAATCATCTCTGACGGGATAACCCGCAAGCTGCTTCATCTGCATGATGTTTTTCTTTATTTTTTCATGTATGTCTTCAACTCCTTGTATCTGTAGTATCAACGCAAATTATTTGTGACATCACTACCTGTAAAAGGCTACCTGTAAAAGGCGGCTCCATCGTGGACACAGCCAAAGGTTAGTAAAATTGGCGCTGATTGTATCAATTTTACAGATAAACCATTCACAACTAGTGTAGTACGGTGAATAAGAAGTCAATTCAGGCTTTGGAAACAGCATGCAAGCCCTATGAATGGCTGCTTTTAGGTCCCTTTTTTTCGTTCTAAATGGAGAATTGCAGCTCTCTTCTGTTGCAGCAGGCAGTGGAGGCAGAGCGGGGCAAACTGGGTTTCAGACAAGCCTGCCAGTAAATTGCTCTGAATGGGTTCTGGAGGTTGACAGGCCCTATTAAGACAAACGGCTTTCCTCATTGGAGAGATAAAATAAATCAGGTGTTTAGTCAAATTAAAATAGTTCCAGTGGAGAGGGCCCCCGGGAGCTCTCGGAGAAACTCAAGACAGATGTGGTCAGACACGAGAGGAAGACACCCAAGAAAGAATTCAGCTCCTTGCTGGCCCCAGGCCAGGCCTTGTTGGACTGTTATCCGGATTTCGGTGCTGCGCATCCTTGCTGCTCTATGATCGTCTCCATCTCTCTTTGTCGCTGTCAGATTTCCTTTTGGTATTGCTTGTTTCCCAAGATCAGCTTGTCACATAGAAGTGCAGCAGGAAGAGAATGAGTTACTGTCTATCCCCTCACTGGCAATTATGTTGACTGTGTTAGTCAATGGTAGGATTACTTAGCATTGATTAGCTGATGAGAAAGAGAGCGAGAGAGAGAGAGAGAGAGAGCTGCTGCACAGTTACTTTCTCGGTTTCTCACATAGTTGTTATAATACTGTAGAGAGATTTGAAGATGAATGGTCTTTTGTTTACATTTCCTTAAAATCTCTGCACAAAAGTTGGTGACTTGATCAAAATGTTTCTTGAATGATTGTTAGGCTCTGCTTGGTTCACCAGATGCAGGATCCAGTCATGCTGTTTTGACAAGTTTGTGCTATCCAGCCTCTACTCCACTCTGTTGGTGTGATTGCTGCCACCTCTAATACCTGTGTGGTTTATAGGCTGGTGCAAACAGTGACTCTTAACACCTTCTCTGTAATAACCCCTGGAAGTCTGACACAAGTGCCACCCCCGTTTTGTCAGCTCCCTGCAGCTCTTTGTCCATTTGCCGGTAACAATTCCTTCTCTTTTTCTTCTGAAAGCTGTGAAAACAAGCCGCAGCAAACTCGTCAAGTCCAGGCTGTGTGTGACCTTAACAGTTTCTAGTGAATTCACTGCAGTTGGTTCCTTCCTGTGTGGATTTCTTTGTATTAAACATTGTGTATACTACAATGACACAATGTGATGATTGGCTTGTCCAGCATGGCTACTTTTCTAAATTTAACAGTAAACAACTTAAGACGTCTCAACAGCCTTTCGTCCAAAAGTTTACATGGGCAGCTCAAGATTTATTGTAGCCCACAATAGAGATTGACTTGATGACTCGGACAACTACTATTGCTTACCACAGCTCAATGAATATCAGATCATTCATGTTAAGACTGTTGTGCATTATGCAAGTCACTTCAGATAATTTATATGAAAGGGCTGGGTATCTCGCCCTTTGAGCCAATACCATCAGCGTGAACATGAAAAATTTATATTTTCACTCCAGTGCAATCAAGATAGTAGAGTAGAAAAAAATCTGCCATGCAACAAACAAGCCTTTGAGTAACTCAGCATTATGCAGAAAACTCTCTTGATTATGCATAGAAAAAAAATTTGCACAAATGGATTTGCAGATGCTCATAAACAAAAATGTACACAAAGAAGCAGTCAGAATAATGTTAAAGCTAGCGTGATAGCTAAAATAATACCTATAATATTAAAATAGCTATGATGAGAGCTTAATTTAAAAGAGAAGAAAACATTCCAAAAATATTGGTATAGTTACTTTATGCATTTCTGCTTTTTCTTTTTTTTCAAAACGTTATTTCTCAATTAGGGTGCTAGATAGATTAAGTCCTGAAATCCGTTAGTCTTTATTTTTCGTTCACCCACTGCAGTTCTCTTCCCAAACAGAAGGCGTCTCTGCTAGTTGGGATTCTGTAGCACCTCAGAAATGTCAGCAGAAAAAGAGTCTTACAGGAGTTTATTCACAGCATAAATCTCCAATTTAATCAGAGCACATAGATTTATAAACAGATGCATCTCATCACAGCTGTTCTACTCATTCACTTGAGTTATGCGCTTGCTTGTCTGTGTAATAATTTCTTTGTACATGCTAGTAACATTTGAGATAACATGTAATTCTCATTTTGGGCAACTAACATTGAAATTATTCTTTCTCATTTGTTAACCTGACTTCTGTGTTAATGTTGGTGCTGCTGGGGGCCTCCTACTGGTGCGAAGACCTTAAGCAGCTGCTTAGTTTGTTTATGCTTTTGGTCGACTGGTTTAAGTCTCCCCCTTTGAGGTTCCTAATTCATTTCCAGGGATGAATCACAAGTATCTCGCTTTTAACCATTGCCCCTCTAAATCTGCCCTCTCCTGCTTTTCACAGGTACCCCAGAGGGTCTGGCAGAAAAGGAGCACCAGCTCTCCACAATGATAACCCAGTTGATAAGTCTGCGAGAGCAACTCCTGGCTGCCCACGATGAGCAGAAGAAGCTTGCTGCTTCACAGATGGAGAAACAGAGGCAGCAAATGGAGTTGGCTCGACAGCAGCAGGAGCAGGTAACTGCGTCCTGTCTTCCTTTTTAGCACGTTCAGGGATGTCTTCACTCTCTCCTCTCGTCTGCATCTCAGTTAACAGCCTGTTTACTGTCAACATTTTATCCTTGTTATTTACAACACACACTGTCATTCCTCCTCCAATATTGTTTATTCTATTACCCTCCGTGCCTCTGTAATAAACCTCATTAAATCCATTTGTAACAAATTGTCACTTAGATCTTTTTTTTCATGCCTGAGGTGTGCCAATAAAATCTTGGAATGCCGAATGATAAGTCGTTTAAGAGACGCTACACTCAGTATTTCCTCAGATATTTCAGTCATGCTCGCTCACCCACGTTTGTGCTGTGGCAGGAAAAAAAACCTTATTATGACTTGTGCTAACAAATGCGTGGCAATGTGTGAATTAAACATTATATTAAACATGGAAGTCCTCCGTATCTTATAAATTGTCCTCCTATTATAACAAGCCGGGCATTAGATTTGCAGCACAAATCTGGCCAATGAGCCATATTGTACAAATCAGCAAATTAGCACAGGCCATGAAGTGTGTTAATGTCTGGGAAGAAATAAGGACACTAACTATCCACACGGGCGACACTTTTATTATCACCAGCCACTCTAATGGCTATGAGTCAATTATCAGCAAGGAGTTCACTCAGAGTTTCCTCAGCACACTCTCAAACTGTCCTGTGGTAAATGAAGAGATTTACCATACACCTTGGAATGATACATTTGGTCATAGTACACTAATAATACATTAACAGTATTGATTTTCTTTTTAATCAATGATGTTCATCTGCAAACTCCACAAGTAGCAAAGCTTTGTTGGACACAGCAGCTCAACTGAGCCACAATAAAAGACATTTCATTTTATTTTAAAATGGAGAAATATTAATAAATTTGGGATGTGCCGTGGTAGACAGGGAGTGCCCGCTGAGAGCTGAAATGTCATCAAGCCATCAAGATACAACGCAGTAATTAACTGTCGACACTTGTGAGGAAGCCAGCACAAATTAATCTTGACACATTTGCAGACGGCAGATATCTTACAGAGAACACTTTGTAATTATATATAAAATTGAAAATTAAATGACACTTAAAACCCAGTTGTCATGCTCAATGAAGTGAGCTTGTAGATGGAGGTGGGCACTCAGATGAGAAAGATTGCGGTGAAGCCTCGCTTCGCATAGGGGCAGCAGGGACCTCTGTCAGTCACACCCCACCTGCACTGGGGATCTCCATCATAACCATGGTTGTCTGTCTTGTAAATCATTCATATCACTCATAGACAAATGTACACTCTGCTTTCCTGCACAGGCCATTTTACATTTATTCAGAAGCAAAGCAAATGGTTTGTTACGTTCAAACAAGTTACAGAAAAGTATGCTTGTTTCAGTGCCCATCATGCTTCCGGTATCTCAGACACCGTCTTGCAAATATTTACACCCCCTGAGATTTAAAAAATGTTTTTGCAATGTCATAACCCCAAATTTCTATGCATTTTGTCATTCTTACTTGAGAGAGAAGCTATACAATATTGTGAAGTGGAAGGTTTTCAAAGAAAATTCACGATATAAACAAAAACTTTTCCAATTATTTGTAACAAATATAAATGAAAAATTAATTGCATTTCAATCATTGCAAAATTATTCACAAAATTAAATGAAAACAATGTCTTTTCTTCCAAGTTTTTTGATGTTTTTTGTCTCTGTAGCATAGTTTCACTTGAGAAAGTGCAGGTGAAATGTGACAAAACATGATAAAGTCCAAGGGGTGTGAATACTTTTGCGAGGAATTTTAATGTACTGTACAGAAACTGGCCCAGATTGACCACATAATGTTATCAAGAGCAATACACAAGTATCCAGTGATAAGTTCCTCTTCTCATTTATCTCAGTTTAAGGGATTATTTAATTTTCTCCGTTGCTTCTGTTTTCAACCAGATTGCACGACAACAACAGCAGCTTCTGCAACAGCAGCACAAAATCAACCTCCTTCAGCAGCAGATCCAGGTCAGTGCATGCATTTCTGTCGGCCCTCTAACACACAGCAGCTTACACCTCCTACTTCCAGATTACTCCAACATTTTTGCCTCTTCGAGGCAATTAACCCACCAATGTTGCTACGGTGACTCGGATTTAGCAGCGCACACACAGGAGTAAAATCAGATATTAAAGGTACCTTATATGCCTTTTTTTTTATTTTTGTGTCTCTTACCCCTTTATCTTTAATATTTGTGTCACACTAACAGTCACCATTCTCATCAAATGTTAATTGCCTGTTGGTAATCAGGAGGGTTTTTAAAATATGGAGGTGAATAATTAACACATCTTAATGAACAAAAAAGAGGGGGGAAAAGTAACAACGGCTAATGAGTGCTGCTGATAGAAGAGAGCCTAGAGGTAGAGGACATGAAAGAGGCTGGTAAATGCCTCTGAAATTAGTCAGCCCCAGCAGGGCAATGTTACATGCTTTCACATAGCACATGGACTGTGGAAGCTTACATTGTCTTTAAGATATGTGGATTTCCTCATGGTTTACCTCAGCTGATGCACACATTTTAAATATACAAGCTGATTATGTGTATTTCATGCTCTTTCTTTTTGATACCACAGGACTACCCGTGTTTGTTTGTATGCACTCTAACACAGTTGCAGAGGAAGACCACCCAGTCAGCCCGTAGCTTGATCTGTTCAAACTGCACAGGATAATCTGTGGTTGGTCACTCGCGCTGGTCAAGGCTGTGAACTTGGCTACCTTTGTGAAGCTAATGTTATCCTGCCGGGTGTGTTTGGTGTCAGGCACATCCTTCTCCATTCACCGCCTCCCATGCTTGTTCTTTTAAGAGTTAACTCTCCCTAGTCTGTCCTATTCATTACACATACGTAGCTTGGGTGCAAATTGTTCATGAAGCAGCAACGCCAACATGTCTATTCAAGATTTTTAAAGGATTTTTTTTTTTGTTTTGTTTTGATGGATTTTTTGAAGACGTATTTTCCTCAACAAATTCTTTTTAGAAGCGTCTAACTGCTGCAAAAATAGTTTAGACAATAAAGTGCATCTTTTGAGAGATACATTGTACTATTAACAAAATCTTGAGATTCCAGTAGCCTCAAACTTTTACTTTAATAGTTGACAATCTTTTGGGAAGATGTTTCAGTACTAATTTCCACTGAAAACTAGTGAAGAGCATAACTCTAAGGGGTTTGTGTGTTTGCGTGTGTGTGAGGGAGTGACTCTTAAATTAAGTGTCGTATCGACCAGTGAGGGGCTAGACCTACTCATTTCTTTGAGGACCCTTTGCTTGTAATCATTGAGCATAAGGGCACCACTTTAAAAAAAATCTCGCTTTTAGAGCCTCTTGATTTTATCACAAAGTTACAGAGAAATGGCACCTGAAAATTCCACTTGATGAATAATTTTTAAAAGGGCTTGGAGATTTGAGAGTGTATGGGAATGCTCTTCTGAATATCCATTTCAAACACTTGAACAGAGATACAAGCAAAGTCCTTCCTTGCAGAGCCCAGTTATCCAGCTTTTCCCCTGCCTCGGATCTTACAGGATTAAAACACAAACATACACACACACACGCACGCACGCACGCACGCACACACACACACGCAGGCACATTTACAATTAAATAAAAGAATCCTGTGTGCTAGCCATCTGCTTGACTATCCACCAGCCTCCCTTGACTCTACTGGGTACATACCACCCAAGTTTCACCTTGTGCAACATTGTTTAGCCAATAAGTTATTCAAACCAGAATGTGTGCTTTCTTCCCAAACCAACTCCTCCAGTTATCCACAGTTGTGATGAAGCATCAAGGCAAGTAGATAAGAGAGTCAGAGCTGATCTCTGTGAAGTATTTTCTGTGGTTCTGTTTTAGTTATTGCTGCCTCTTAAAAAGTGCCTCAGCTATTTTAATATATAACAGCTTTGCTTAATTAGTTCTATATACAAGCTTCTTGTCCGCAAAGTGATTCACAGTATTGGGGGATTTGGTTACCCTGCTTTTAGCATTGAGAACACTAAACTTTATTGGTAATCCTGCTGCTTTCAAAGTCCTTCTGTTTAGCTTTAGAGAGGAAGCCAGGGGAGAGGGCCTTACTTAGGTCATGTATTGATGATGTGACTGATCACATGGCGCATATTTTAAACAGTCCAAAAAATAGAACCATGGAGATTGCAACCAGAGACTGTTGTTGGCACTATATGTGTGCTTTCCAAAACTTTATAGCATGAAGACTGAATCTCTTAGAAGTATTGTAGAGGTTTAGTCTGGCTCCACTTTGGAGCAAGCCAGCATGGAATTCAATTAAGTTTCTTTTTTGAATAGCCTTCTTTTTATCCTTTCTCATCATGCCTAAAAGAGAGAGGGAGAGATTTAGTCTTTGTCCCATGGGATTACAATGTCACTTGTTTTAAGATAGCAGATTGAAGTGTTAGGGGCTTATCAAAAATTAAAGCTCAAGGCTTTGTGTGTTTCCCCGTCAGGACCAATTTTTTTTTTCTTTCCTTCCTTCAGTCTGACCCTCATCGTTGAAATCATCTTGGCACTAATTCAATCCTAGGATTAGATCAGCTGCTTTGGTTGGAAATTTGAAACACCATTCAGGACTTTGTAAGACAGATCATAATTTAACATATATATCAATGGATAACTAGTTTGTCCAAGCAGCTACTTATCTTTTTATGCTACTGTGTAGGGATTGTGAGTTGAAGAACATTCAGTTTATCTTTTCTTCACTCATTACAACCCATTTTATTTAGAAATCCAGTCATTTTTGCACTTTTTGGGTATTTCCCTAAACACAACTTTCACAACTGTGGTGCAGAGGCATGCAAACAGCCACATACATTCAGAGAGATAATTGTCTGTGCTCAGCAATTGGATGTGCTCATTGATACAAACATCAAGAGGATGAATTCAGGCTGAAAGGTCAGGGTGAACTTTATCTTCATAAACAGACAAGAGATGGCAGAGCTCACCAGATGAAACAGAGGGGCACTTTTAATCCAGAACTTTTCATTTAAATGTGAAACATCATTTAACACGGTGACAAAAAAACAACAGCACAATGTCATGACATTGTTGCTTATCATTGACTGTGGCATTTATGTGCCAACTCTGAGAAGACAGCCGGATAGGAGATCGAAGGGATAATAATTTCGAAGGATGCCATTGTCATTCAGATTGTGCTTGTTTTCAAAACCTTCTACTATAATGGGTTGTGTTGGGTTTGGCTATGTTTATTTCCCTTTGACCTGCTGCTCTCTACCTACTCATGGTCTGGCCTTGAAACTCTAACCCCGCACACATTATCTGTGCCTGTAAATCTTACCTTTAACCTTGCTTCCACAAGGATACATAAACACAGCACGTGTCTTTCTCCCCAGTTTATAAAGGGAAACATAAGATTAAAAGAGACTCTATATTGTTGCTCTCAACATGCTTCAATCTGTCTGAGGCTTTCTCACATGTTTTTAATGGCAAAGAGAGACACTGGGGCACTAAAGGTCTAAAAATACAAAAGAGAAAAAATAATTACAAAAGCATTGTGCAACAATTTATGAAATGGAGAAACTATACTGCTGCTAGAAAGTGAGATATAAGAAAAACACAACAAAAAGTATACAATCGAACATTTAGCAGCACAATTCTATTAAGTCATTTGTGGAGCTGACTTATGTTAGGATCTTAAAGTTTTGTTGCTGACACACCATTGTTTTTCTCTTTTGTTTCCAGTGGCACAGGAAGACACAGTGTCATTGCAAAATAGTTAGCCATACCCTTCATCTCTTATCTCTCGTGAAGCCTATATTTGACACATTTTACACAAAATATTACATCATATTTATTTCTTATACATGTTTTTTAAAGAGATTTTTGCAGTTTTAAGGTGGAATTGCTCATATGTCTAAGCAACACTAGTCCCAGGTGATAATTTTTTTCTCTTCCTTTTTATTTCATATAGACATTAATGCATAGGGACAAAAAATGGGTGTTGCTGTTTATTTTAAACATTTTATTATGGTTAAGAATTATAATATGAGAGCAACTACTTCAGAAAGAGATAAAATGTAACTTTACCTGACATTGAAACAATATATTTAAACAAAGTGTTTCCTCTTCAGAATGAATGCAACAATTGCTTTTTAGATTTTCCCTAAAAAAATTACCACATTTCTTGTTATTGAACACAGGTCCTAATAACTTAAAGTAAAATGTATCTTAAGAGTAGATTAAGGTCTTTAACATTTTCATTGTTTTGGCAAAGTTGAACGTTAGGTTTTATATTTTATGCAGTTATTTTGCATAAAAACACACAAATGCTTTCCTAAGAGCAATAAATAAAACAATAAAAAATGTTAATTTAATAATCACCTTTAAGTACAAAGCACAGAAAAAAAATTGTACGGTGTCTTATAAAATCGCTTTTTTATATATACAATTTTTTTTGTTTAGTCGCAGTTTAATAGAGCACAAAAGAAAATGTAAGCTGCACCATTATAGTAAATATTTTATATCATCCAATTGAGTTTAAATAAACATGGATCTGTTGGGTACTAATATAAGGATAACAGATCTAATTTGTGCTTTTGTTGTCTCCACAGCAAAACTGCATTTCTCAGAGTGAGGTTCCTAATAATGTACTAACAAAGGGTAAAAAAAAAAGCAAAATGGACATTGTTAAAGAGAATGCATAAGTTGCCCAATTAGTGCAGCAGACTGGGGCTGTTAGTAAAATAATAAGGGAATTATAGAGCAGGAACATGATCATGTGTGCATTCAAAGTGGGAAACTGTGTACTGCTGTGCAAACAGACCTACTCTTGTGTTTGCTGATGAGCTCTGTGTTAGCCTCCTTGTACGATTATGTTGAGGCATTAACAGCCTAGTAAGACAGCCTTGGCTCTCTCCCAGGGAGCCTCAGTCCAGCATGTTCATCCTCCATTTAAGAAGACTGTTAGCTGATGAAGATGTATACAAGCAAGACAGAAGATAAAAG